TGGCGGCGTTGGGAAAGACAGGCGTCGAGATACTTGCGTTTCTTGTCACGTTCGCCATTGCGAAGGACCTTGTCAGGATCCTTGCGACAGTGAGAAGCAGCATCAAGATTGATGACACGAATAGCTTCATAGTATTGTCACATACTCGAGTACGTCCCAAGTCCGACCCGGAGCGCAAAACAAAATCAACTTGGTGTCTAGTTGGTCAACGCACCTGGCCACGAGAGTAAAACCAGTTAGTTTCACTACTGCAACATGAGTACAATTAATTCATATCCTTGCTATCAGCATTAAGTCAAGACCTAAGCTCTCGTAGCTAAGTTTTTGAGTCGAAAAGTCATTTTCGATAGCTTGTGAGATCTACTTTACCCGCTTGTGAGATCTACTTTACCAGTCTCCGCTGATTCTCAAATAAATGCTGTCAGACATGTAGTACCAAGGCTTCAATTACATCGTGCCTGCTTGGATAATGGCCCCTCCGAAGCTTCCAACTCATATCTCTGCCTTTCGGCGGCACACACTGCAGTAACTTGTTGTGATGGATCTCGAGGGAGCGCCTCGGAAATCGACACACCAAGCAATTCCGTTTGGTTGCTTTCTCCTAGCAACACCCAGCCTCGTTCATTCTTCATGTCAACATGAGCTCCACCGTCGCCAATTCGATACTTCCGGCACTTCCCTTCCAACCAGACAGATAGATCTACCGCTGTGTCGGCGACCTCACTTGGGTATTTGCTGCCTTGTTTGCATTGGTAGCCAGCCACTACCCTCCATTCACCAGATATTCTGTGCAAGACAAAGAAGTCATAAACAGGAAATGAAGCAAAAAGTGGTACCGCAACCACCTGCTTGACCTGTGTCCGACGATTGAACTGTCGGCTGATCGAAGTGACGATTTCTCCTACCGGTATTGTGGTTGCCTCCCGCCCGACATAAAACAGCTCTGTCGCCTCAAATGGCTCGATGCGTGCTTGTTCCATGGCTTCGCGGTTCAAAGGCACAAGTTCATGTTCCAATCCAGTCATCAACCGTATAAGGATCGCAATCTGTGTGAGAGCTTCAAACGCCTTCGCTTCATCAATGCTAGAATGCTCCAAAGTTGCCGTAAGCTGCCGGTAGTCTTTGCCTAGGACGTTCTGTTGGGCAATCATGAATGCGGGCCATGCATATCTAGGCGTTTGGTTGCTTTGAGTGAATCGTTCGCTCATATATGAGTACGCTCGAAATATATTGTGGGCGTTGGTGAGGGAATCAATGTCACCAGAAATAGTGGCCTTCAGACACTTGATGCGCTCTTCGCTGCTATCTCCGTCCAGAAACATATCGTCCGTGTATTCAGCAATCATTCCAGAATCTTGCAACACCAATCCAGGAAGTCTCCCTCGTAAGACGGCAAACCAAAAAGAAGCCTCTTCTGTCGGCTCCTTGTAAAGGCCACGAAGACAATCTTCATTAAGTCAGCGGGAGCTGCGATACCTCGGCAGAAAGACAGATAGAAGAAGGATGACATGTTTGAGATTGCACTCTTCTTTCAAGCTAGCCCTGGCGACAACACCTGACTTCGTCGATTGTTGCCGCCCGCTATCATTCTCTCATTGTAACCTTCTGTTTTATTAAGCTAGCCTTGGCGACAACACCCGACTTCGTCGTGTGTTGCCGCCGGCTAACCCATAATTTACAGCTGTCATTATATTATGTAACTCCAGTCTTTACAGCTCCTGCTGGCTTATTCTGATTTTGTGCCAAGTGCACTAACCTTAAATAATATTGATTTATTCCTACCCCTAACTATAATTGAACCATTAAGTTTCAGATTTGTTGGTTCATGCTTATCTCTACCCTTATACTTTGGCTTCACCGGAATAGGATTTAAGTCAGCGGGAGCTGCGATACCTCGGCAGAAAGACAAATAGAAGAAGGATGATCATGTTTGAGATTGCAGCCTTCTTTCAAGGCAGCCCTGGCGACAACACCCGACTTCGTCTTGTGTTGCCGCCCGGTATCATTCCCTCATTGCAACATCCTTTTTTATTTAAGCTAGCCCTGGCGACAACACCCGACTTCGTCGAGTGTTGCCGTCCGCTAAGCATAATTTTACAGCTGCCATTCCCTTATTGTAACTCTAACCTTTACAGCTCCTGCTGGCTTATTGTGCTTTTGTGCTGAGTGCACTAATTTATTCCTACCCTAACGTTTATTGAATCATCAAAGTTCAGTTTTGTTGGCTTCTGACTATCTCTATCCTTATACTTTGGCTTCGCCGGAACAGGAAACAGGAAACAGGAAATAGGAAATACGGAAATAGGGGGTGAGGGCTTAGGCAGATAGACTGCCGAGGTAAAGGGGTTGAGAACTCAGGCAGTTAACCTGCTGAGGTTGACAATCCTTGGGATGTGTTTCCAAATGTGTCGTCGCCGTGACAGGCCTCTCAGCAAATCGGCTGTACTACGCTGGTGCGTTGAGTAGCGCACAGCACATCCATTTCGCTGAACAATATTTCCAAGAAGTGCGATCATATCGGTGTACTGGGTTGCCGTATATTGAATGGCATTAAGCTCGTCCACAATGAGAATAACCTTCTTGTCAGTCAGCCAGTCATCAACAGCACCAAAGTCGCTGTGTCTGCCTCTGAAATTAATGAAGGACTTGACGTTTCGATTGGTGAGTTCCCACGCAATTCTGGACAGGATGGCATCGTAGGCTGTCTCTTGTGCAATGTTGTATGGTGTCACGCTGAGTG